ACAAGTGGACCGGGTAATAAAAAATACTAATTTTCAAAGAATAAGAAATACAGATGGAAAAACTAATTAAATTATGCACACAAATATTTCAAAAGTCTATTATAATTAGAATATAACAAAAAAAAAAAAGTGCCTTATTTTTCTCACTCCATCGGAGGGAGGTGATAGACACAGACATAACGCATTATAATTAAACTAATTGACACTCAGAATTTAGCATCTCCTTTATAAGAGTAGAGCCAAAAGATCTAAAATGTACTTATTATTAATACACTTGATTTGATCAATAAAAATTTTTCATTCACCTACAATAATCACAATCTCCAAAGCATTTCTTATACCATATAGATTTGTCATTATATTATTAGGGATCAAATCCTACTATCAATGCAATGCAATAAACATTGAAATTCTATCATGCTTTATATTTTATGACTTCTAGTTCTGTATATTAATAATATTAATTGTTTTTTTTTTAAAAAAAAAAATTATTTAAATAGTAACTAATTAATTATATTTTAAAAAAAAAGATAAAAAGTGTTTGGTTTCCTAATAAATAAATAAATTAACTAACTAGAAGTATATATTCTAGCCCACAAAAATGCCCCATGTTATTATCACCATTAATTTACTACTCACAAGTTTTACACGATGAGATAAGCTCAAGAGAGATACTTTCTTTTTTATATTTATCATAAGTGGATCAAAATATCATAAAATTGAAAAAATAATAAAAAAAAAAAAACCAACAATTCTCCCAGACAATTCTTCTTACTTGGAAGATTTGGATTTTCTTCCACATTGAACAACGAGAAATTGTAAAAAAATGTTAAAAAGGTAAAGAAAAATATTACGAAATGCACAAAACAAAAACAAAAAAAAAAAAAAAAAAAAAAAGAAAAGAAAAAGAGAAATGAAGAAGAAGAAAAATTCAGAAAAGAAAAATGAATGAAAAATTAATTGAGAGGAAAGCAGAAAAAAGAGAGTAGGGGACATCCCCGTCCATCTTTAATCCAACAAAATGGAAAGCCCAATACCCTCTCGGAATGGAGACTAGAAGGTAACTTGGGATTGTGAAGGGAAGCTCGTGGAGACGAGACGTAGGCTCGGATTGAGGAATTACTCGAGGTACCGAGTGGGAGTTTGATTTAGCCACACTAGACGGTGAAGACAGAGAGAAGGTGGGGCTCGAACTTTAATAGAGGGACGCATGACTGGTAGGAGGGGATGAAATTTTGGAAGCCAGTGTTTCAGTCTAAAAGGAGGACAGGAGTTGAAAGCCAAAGGATAGAGAGTGAGAGAAAGGTGGCTAACCGAGAGCAAAAAAGAGGAATTTCTAATCCGAGTCCCTTTGGTAAGGTTTCGAAAACCTTGATTTCAACTGTAATAGTGACTTTTAATTCGCGAAAAGTATACAGTTTAAGTTGAATTTAGGGGATTGAATATGTTGTTGCTTGATTATTCATTTCTATGTGGTGAAAAGGATGAAACTTTGGATTTGATGATCTGATTAAAGAAATTGTTGGAAGAATGAATTAGATGGAATGTTTCGAGACGTAGTCTACTGTTTTGAGTAAAAATAGAAACTTCTTTGCTGTTTGGTTTTCTTCTATGTTTTCAGGGTTCATGTTAGAATTTTCAAATCTATTTAACTCACCTCAGGCTGTATCATACCTGTTTGAGTCTCACTCTTTTGGCCATTGTTTTGGTTTTCTTTCCAATCCCTGACTCTACTCTTTTAGGGCTCTCTGAACGTAAGTTAGATTCATGCACATTCATGTATTCTTTGGCTTGAGTTTGCTAAAATGCCATGTTCAATTCTTTGTTTCAGGGCTTTGTAATATGATTGGAAGCACTGAATCTATTTTGTCTCACCACTTAATTATTTTAAATCGGATGTCAATTTCTTATGGAGATTTTCGAGAATGTTTAGAGTTCTGAGACTGTTATTTTCTGAATTGGGATTACCATTCCCTCAAAGGGGCTGTCTGAGGATGTTTTGTCACTAAGTTCTTCAAAATCTGGTCATACTTCTTTCCGAGGAGCTTTAAACCTGATTTCAAGTCTTAGAATTTCTAGTGGCTTCATTTCATTCTGTACATTACTTGTGATCCTCTTTAACATGTTTTAAGGTTTAGACTCCAAACTATTTCCTTCTTCAAGTATGAATGTTTCTACTCTTGCTCTAAGGTTTATTCTTGTGTTTTGACTTCATGAGTTCAATCTGGCCATTTCCCTTTTATGCATTCAGGTTATCATTTTTCAAATTTGATATATTACATGCTGTTTTAGGAAACGGTAGTCAGGGGCTCTTCACTTTTTTTTTTTTAATCTTCACAGTTTTGTTTTCAATTATTTATTATCAAATTTATTGTATATAACATTGTCATGTATGTAAAATTAAATTTTATGTATATTGTATGGATCTATAACACAAAATTTATTATACTAATATGTTAGATATATATAAGTTATACATATTATGTACAGATATAAATCTATAAATATAATATAAAACAATATATATTATATATTTTTTATATAATTATAAAATACTCTATTTAATACATGTATTTACACATTTTGGCACAACAATATGTACTCAGCAATTTGCTGGTAACATATATAAGACAGGCTACCAATACCGAGGAGGTTGTCTGCGGCTGGTTGATCAAGAATGATCTTTCTTTTTTATTTTTATCTAAGGTTATTATAGTTTTCCTTTAATAGATTAATAGTTTTAACTAATTTACTAAAAAATTACCAAGATATTAGCTTATATATTATTTTTAGTATTTATTTATTTTAATTTATTTGTTATTTTTGTAAACTTTTCATAGCTATATAAGAGAATATTATTGTAAGAATTAATTGGAGAAAAATTATAAAGGCCTGAAACTTTAATGGAATAAATATATATTAAAATAACAGAAGCAAATAATAATTAGATTTTATATTTTTTACATAGTAAATTAGGATCTTCAATAGGGTTATAAAAATATCCTTTCAAAAAAAATTAAAATAACAAAAATAAAAATGAAACTGAAATCCTATAGGGTTAACTTCCACTGACCTCTAATAAGGTCCAAGAGATAACTTTTACTCGCAATTCAGCTGTTATTCAGGATTTGGATTTTAGTTTTTTTGAATATGAAATGGTTAAATAAGAGAATGAGGTACACTAATTCAGTAAGAATATCACACTAATAACTGATACGAAAAATCGAATGTTGGTAAAAATTATAAAATAACTAGTGGAGCCATTAGTTTTGGTAAATTCATTTAATATAAAACCACGCAAGTTTCATTTTTATGGTTACGAGCTTTCAAAATTGACCTATAAAGATAATAATTCAAATAACATTGTGATTTCATATCCAATGAGCAAGAATAATAATTTACCTTTTTACTTGATTACCGTTACCTCTAAGGATTCATATGGATGTCCCCTTACGTGTGAACCTAATAACCAATTTATCATTTAACCGGTCGTTCTCATATTTTGTTTGATAATGAGCGTCAAATATATCGCCTCGATACCCTATCTAGTATGAGGGTAAACCATATATCCCAAACCCTTCCGGTATAGGATTTTTCAACCCCGTTCAACTGAGGTAATGTCCATGGTAGGATTTTTCCTATGTATCGGGTCCATTCACCATTGATCAGGGTACCCAGTAAACCTCTCATACATAGATTCACATCATTAATCAATCATCAAATTACATATAAATATTTCATATTTACAAATCAGTAGTAAGTCATGCAAAGAGACGGTATATAAATCAAGAGATCATAATTGAGACATTTATTATAAAACGAACCAATAAATGAGGCAATGCAGTTAGGTAAATTAAATAACCGAGAAGACAATTAAAACTGTTAATTTAATGCACACAATATAATAGTAACCATTTTAAAAAGTATAGGAGAAAAATAAACAGTAAGCTATGGCGAATATGCACTGACTGGTTTCGGCTCCGTTAGTAACTTGTAATTATTTTTAGAGTTTTATAATTTTCACAGAACACAGTATTATCGATTATTAGGTTTCAATTTACATAACAGAAAAAAAGGTGAGAGATTCTTATTCGAATCGGTATCCGAAATACAATACTTTCTACTGTACCTTCTGACAGTCCTCAGGTTTCCTGTATTTTTTCTACAAAAATTAAAACACCTGTCACATTTTTAAAAATACTCCAAAAGGCCAAAATAGGCATTGAAACATCTTTTCAGCTAATTTTAGGATTCCGGCACGGTAGTGCCGCAGTGCTTCGACGCCGGCTCTGGCGCTCACGGTGGTGGTTCACCTTGGGCTGACTGGTTTTGACTGGTTTAGATAAGTTTTGGCCTGTTTTACACGTAAACCTAAAAAAAGTCAAGTTGGGAGGCCTCAATTTGGCCAAAAAAGGCAAAAAACTGAAACTCTACCGACATAAGGTCTCCGGGTGGAGTGACAGAGCCAGTCCTCCTTCGCAGCT